AGTAAACCTAAAGATAAGCATAAAAAAGTTGGTGATAGTTCTCGTTCAGCGGCAACATCCACAAAATCTGAAAAAAAAGAAAAAAAAAGAACAATTTTTTGGTATAATTGGAAATGATACTCGTGGATTAATTCTTTTAAATTTCTTTTTCTTTTTGGTAATTTTTATTTGGCATTGTACATGGGTAACATCTAATGCTTATTCATCACCTTCAATTGTACTTGCTTCTCGACAAGCTGATGGATCACAATATATTATTGATGATTTTCGTGAAGCTTATTATTGGCTACGAAAGAACACTGATGATTCTGCAAAAGTTATGTCATGGTGGGATTATGGTTATCAAATTGCTGGTATGGCAGATAGAACTGTTTTAGTAGATAATAACACTTGGAATAATACACATATTGCCACTGTTGGCAAAGCAATGTCATCTTCTGAAGATGTTGCATATGAAATAATGAGACGACATGATGTAACTCATGTACTCGTTATTTTTGGTGGTTTATTGGGATATTCTGGTGATGATATTAACAAGTTCCTTTGGATGATTCGTATCGCTGAAGGTGTTTATCCTGATGACGTAAAAGAAGGAAACTTTTTCACCGCACGTGGTGAATATAGAGTTGATAGTGAAGCTACACCGACAATGCGAAACAGTATTATGTATAAAATGAGTTATTATAATTATAATGAACTTTTTGGTGGTCAAGGTCAGGATCGTGTTCGTGGAGCTCGAATGCCTGCAGACAAAATTAAATTGAGTACTCTTGAAGAAGCATTTACATCAGAAAATTGGATTGTAAGAATTTATAAAGTGAAAGATTTAGATAATATTGGTCGTCATTTGGAACAAGCTGCTAATTTTGAAGCAGGTAAAAAGAGTCGAAGGTCGAAAAAGAAGCAGTCTCAAAAATGAAAATACAAAACCGATTTGATCTATTTAATAATATATATTAAAGTTGGAGTTTATTTATTTTCTGTATAAAGTGAACTATATGTATGTATGAATTTGAGTAAAAAAAAATTGAGAGTAAAGAAGTGAAAAAAAGGAATGGAGGCGAAAAAACCAGGATAGAAATTAGTCTACAATTTTTTTTTTCTTTCTTTTATAAATTTAATATCAATAAAATTGAAGAAATATATATTTGTACCTTCAACAGAATTATATGTAAAGTAAGTATAAATTCTGAAATAAGAAGTGAGTAATCAAAAATTACTATGGATAAAGAATAAAGATCAGTGATGCAAAGCAAACTGTTTCTTATATAGAAAGATCTCATACACAAGCTTGATGCTTATAATCGAAAATTTTATAAATTTCATCCTTTCCGTTATAGGCTGGAATACTGTTGTGGGTATCATTAAACTAATGATATTGAAAGTAGTTGTGTTATTGGGAGTATCATTGATGGAGATGACATCATGTATAATAACCTATTTTGTTCAAGAGAATTTTACAAGTTGCTAATTTAAAATACAACTCAAAGTAATCAAATGTTTCTAAATTAGATAGCTGCTTGAAATCAAATATTTTTGTTTTGCTTTAGCCCCGATAAACCACTTCATCCACATTCCATCAAAGCATACTGTTCTTATGAAATAAAAGTCTGCCTCTATAAAATGCTTTTCTGTTCGAATGTTGAAGCACTTCTGAAGGCCTACACGTCAATAACTATGAACTCAATAATAAGCGCGTTTGTCTATTCACACGCGTACGTGATGACCAATAAAACTACACGATCAAGTGTAACGTGAAATTTATAAAAACGCGATAAATTGTCAAGCTTTTTTTTTTTTTACATTTACCATTTTCTTTTCTTTCTAACTTAGAAAGATTGATTAACTAGAAATTATTACGTATCTATTTTT